CCCATTTCGCGCTGATTGCTTCTTTGCCTGTATGTTTACGCTCTCCTTACGTGATATTTTTTGGTCGACTGTACTCTATTGTTTATTTTCGCGCGTGCCTACAGAAAGATAATATCGTTGTTCCTGGGAACGGTAAATAAATTATTATTATTAATATTAATATTATCATTATTATATCATTATTATTATTAATATTAATAATATGCGCACGCCTGGCATTGCCAATCCAGGCGTGCGCCGCGCGGCGTTGCTTTGACGCATGCGCGTTGGAGCGTGCCCGGCGTCCCTCCGTCACCGAGGGAGGCAGACGTGGTGCTGCCTGGGTAATGTCGTCAGCCTGAACTGCAACATGTAGCATTTCGTGCTGGTTTCCGCGGGCAGCGCCGACAGACGCTGGTCACACCGGTCGCGCCAGGCGTCAGACTATAGAGTGCTCGCCCTGTGCTAGCGTAGCGTCACTGCACCCAGCCTGCGCTTGTGTTAAGTTTCGTTATGAGAACGCTATAAGCGTAGCATGTAGTCATGTCTTACATGAAGCACATATTATGATTATTTTAAAGTGACATATGTCAACCTTCCTCATTCGTGCTTCGCGTATCATCGATTCCCACTATGCGTGGGATCTGCCGATTTTTTCGTTAAATATTTTGAAAGTTTCTCGACGGGTGTTTCTTATATTTTTGGCAGGTGCCGTCGTCGCTCGTGAATATGGCCTTCCTTGCGTTGTCGGTATTGAGGACATTACCACGATGCTTAGTTCTGGTAAGTTACCATCCCGTGGTTCTTCTACCATAGTTGCCTTTGTAATATAGAGCGAGTTCAGAAATTTGTTTCATAAAAATGCACTTCTAAGCGTCTACAATACTACGCGTCCTCATTGGTGCAGTTTGAAGTCTTTTCAAACGTGCACGTCAAGTCCATGAACCACAGAGACGAAGCAAAAAATAAAGGATTTACAGAAAAGTATTGTAATCAAAACAGCCGTTGCGTGCACGCACGCACGCACGCACGCACGCACGCACGCACGCACGCACGCACGCACGCACACACACACACACACACACACACACACACACACACACACACACACACACACACACACACACACACACACACACACACACACACACACACACACACACACACACACACACACACACACACACACACACACACACACCACACACACACCACACACACACACACGCACGCATGCAAGCAAACGCCACTGATGCACACACAGACAGTATGTCGCGGATGAGTGCACACACATACAGTATGTCGAGGATGAGTGCACATAAACAATGTAGAAATGGGAAAAAAGTGCCACTAGAAGCCTTGGAGTGTGTTTCAGTGATCCATTTAGGAGCATTCACACAATGAAGTCCGCACAGTATTGTACGCAGTTTGAGGAAGTTGGTGTTTCTTCACGTCGCAGAAGCAAACACTCAGCAAATCTCTTTACTGCAGCTAATACAGAACATCCACAAACATTGATTCGACAATCCCACGACGTACCACGTAATGTTCACTGGCAAAAGTGTGATTTTACTAAATACCGTGGCTATGACCGGCGCTGGTTAACACCTCCGCAGTTACACAGAAACGAAATGCATTTGCAGTTTAAAGAAGCGACGGTTTGTTTAGGCTCACGCTTTGCCATCGCAGTCGAAGCTTCCTGCGCTGGACAAGCGCACCGAGTAACACAGCAGGTGCAAGCTCCTAGCACATGTCTCGCGCTGCGCCTGATTCGCTGTGCGAACAACTGATTCGCTCAGTTGTTCGCACTACCGAGCGCAGTAAATACTTTCCCCACTCGCTCTTCACATACCCACCTTCATGAAAGGCAGCAGCGAGATCAGGCGCATAATCGTTTGTGTTCCATTTCGAAAATGCTTCGCTCATCTGTTGTATTCACACACAGAACTGCCAAATTTTCTTGTTTTTTTGGCTCAAACGACCACCACTGCACCGGATTCAGAACGAGATCACTGTTTCTTCGAAACGCCTTTAGTTTGGTTCGAAAATCGGGTGACACAAGAAGACCGAGGCGAACACACAGACATGATGTGAATGTCGTTTCGGGGTGGTAATGATGGCTGTGGATACCTTCTTAGTACTTTTTATCAGTGGGATCATGATCTAGCAAAAGAGCTTTTGTTGGATCTAACTGATCTATATCGAATAAAGTTAGTAAAATGTCATCCTTACGGAAAAGTAAGCTTTCGCCAATAATACAGCAATTGCCACGAAACGTGGGTCCATTAGAAAGAAAAAAAGGTTACAAGCTAAACAACTTTGGCCTACAATAATGCTTCTAATCATGTGTAGACATAAACTCGGTAAAGTAACTGTCTCTTTTTGTATCCCACAGGCGACACAGTTCACCTCGATGGCAACACTGGCGTCATCAGAAAAATTGCCCTGCTGCAGGCAGAAGTTGACTGACAACCATATCAACCGGAAGGAGGACTTCGTGTCTCAGTTCAAGAATGATAACAAATAAAAAATAAGTTGTACAGCTCAGTAATAATTCAGTCTAGTTCACTTGCGAGCCTGCAATCGCTCTTAGACCAGAAAGTGCATCAGCGTGCTGGTAATTATTGCCTTTCATTGCGATAGCAATATATGAAGAATCTCAGCTGGATGTTGCCGCCAGCGTTGTCGTCGACATCGGGGTCTCCGTCAGTCACCGTATATGTATACGTAATTATATATATGTAAGCGCAAGGAAAAAAAAAACTAATGAAAAAGGACTCCGGTGCGCAGAATCCAACTTGGGACCTCTAAGCAACTGACGAGCACCTCCTTCAACACGCTTTTTATATCACGCTTTTTATGGCACGCTTTTTATATCTACACTCACCACTAATAACAGGCATATCGGGGGAAACTAATGTGTTTTCAGCATTACCAGTAAGATGGCGCAATGAATGTGCATCACCACATCGCCACGACGTGGTTGCGCGCGCTCTCATCTTCCACGCGTACTTTGCATTGCGGGGAGAAGTGGGGTGGACGCTGACTCGCGCACCCTTATCTCGCAGTGGGGGGATCGTACGTCTTGGCTGGCCTTCGGCTTTCAGTGGAACAATTCTGTTGTAGTTACCGGGCGCACAAAGGCAACTGCAATCATTGCACAGTCTCCGTTTGCGAAAAGCGCATGCTTTTCAGACACAGCGAAGTAACAACTGATGTGCTTATTCTCGTTAATCTGTACCTGTAAGAACATTTCGTGCGTCATTTGTGCGTGAGAAACGCGGTGCACGTTTTCATCTGCTTGCCATTCTGTGCGTGACTTTCCAATTTGTTGCTATCGCATTCATTGCTTTGCCTTTTCGGTAAAGCTGTGACTCTGCATGAAAAGTGTAGTTAGTAGGGTGTCCCTAAAGTATAAATTCACCTAAAATCTGCCTCTATGATAGTAAAGTAATAGGTAAATTACTTAAGTAACTATACCTGAATCAACAACTTCAACACGCGACGAGCTCAGCACAGTCTGTAAGTGATTTAAGTGCTTCAGATAGTCTGCTATATTATTTCTTATAAAGTCAACACATGAACATAAATAATTGCTCGAGGGTGAATGGCCAATGTTAGTTGTAATAATAACACCCGGACAAAAATATCACAAAAAAGAAAATGAGTCCCTCAGGATTTCTCTCAGTTTTGACTAGTGACCTGCGTTAAGATGTGATTCGATGTATTTTATATTAGTATAATTTCATTATTGGGAGCACCGTAAGGAAACATGTCCGCTGCCACCACCGCTGGTATCCGTAATCACTATCACGAATTAGGAAAAAACTTGCACCAAGCACACAGTTGGGCTCGCACCTGAGTCCGCTGCGTGCCAGCCCAGTATTCGACCACTGAGCCATGCCGATGCTTGGGACTAATTCGCAAACTTGCCTTAGCCAGGCTTGACGCCGGGAAAGTAATGTCGTCAGTATGAGTAATAGGGCATTTCAGAACAGCAAAATAACAACGAGGCGTCACACACTGCGAATAGCGTACCGAGTGGGTCATCCAATGTCACAAACCGTTACAAAAGCTTGTTATTGTTCCTCTACTAACTGTGGTGCATATACACTTCAGCCATAATTTCTCATCGTTGTCAGCCACTGCAAGAACAATTGGCACAATAGTTCTTCCAAGTGTTTAGCTGATTAACGCTTCTCAGACGAATAACAAGAAAAAGCATGGCGAATGCGGGTCTACTACCCTAAAGCTTTTATTAATAATGCCGTAGTGGGTACCAAGCAAGTGCGATTCCGGCAGTTACCCAAAGAATGCATGAAAAAAAGCTCTGAAACGTCGCTTTTATAGCATTTGCTGTGGCTGTGCTGCGGCTTCCACGCAGACCTGGCGTTTTTTTCACTCCTACTAGATTACGAAGTCTGCTTCAGCAGCTTGCCCCTTTAGTTCTTCAAGTGTGCATTCTATTTTGTCGCAACATTGATGCTCTTTGTAAGGTAGGCATTAAACTTATTCAGCTCTGTCGCTATTTGGCTCTGTTAATGTTTATGCTGCGATTTCTCCTCAATAAACTTTGATCGGAATTGGACCGCCTTGGCTTCTAGTGATGCTGCCTGTTTTATGTTACGATGAACTGTAACTTGACGTGGTGCAGCCTCCTTCCCATAGATTAGTCTATTGTGGTTAGCATGCCATCAGGGTTTTAATAAGGTGGACTTCAAAAGGTGCCAAAAGTGAAGCCTGCAGTAGCCAAAGTAAGTAAACTCGTCATTTATTATTATCCCCAATTGGTAGCCAAATAGGACAAGAGTGATATTATAAACAAAGTCTTTACTATTGATGAATAAACAAAATTACTTTGAATATGTCAAATGAGAAGTGCAATAGTAGGAAGAAAATAGCCGTGGCGCCAACAAGAAACTTTCGTCACCAAACAGGTCAACAAGTAGTTATTTTTACGCAAAGTAGCCATCAAAGGCAACTCTGCGAGCAATGCATTAGTGTCCGTGATGTTTTCTTTCTTCGTGTAATATAGTAGATGACATCCGAATAGGTGCAGTCGCATCGTGGTTTTAGGATATTTCACTCGTGGTTAGCTAGACGAGCTTGTATCTTCGCGACCAGAAACGACTGATGACTTATTTGGTGCTGATTTCCATGCCCCATACCTCTTAGTTGCGTACTTGGTGTGCTTGCTTGCGCTGTCTCTTTTTGATTGATTGATATGTGGGGTTTAAGGTCCCCAAAACACCATATGATTATGAGAGACGCCGTAGTGGAGGGCTTCGAAAATTGCGACCACCTGAGCTCTTTAACGTGCACCGAAATCTGAGCACACAGGCCTGCAGCATTTTCGCGTCCATTAGAAATGCAGCCGCTGCAGCCGGGATTTGATCCCGCGACCTGCGAATGAGCAGCCGAGTACCTTAACCACAAGACCACCGTGGCGGGGCCACTGTCTCTTTATATGTACTGTGCGAGTTCGGAGTAAGCTTTCGCAGATCCCAAATACTCGAAGCATGGTGACCTTCGCACCTCAAACAGGAGGTCATTCATTTGCAGTGCCACGTCCTGTGTTGTTCTGTTGCACATATAAAACACTATTTACCACCGGAGAGAGCTGGCTCTTCCGTCGTAGACATGCTATTTTTACAGACTTCTGTTTAGTGGTGCACTGATGCGCAGAGCACACAAATCTCTGTCATAATAAAATGTACAAGAGTAGTTCGTCAGAAGAACAGATTGTTACGCCTGGGAATACACACCGGACGGCAATGCCTCTTTAAAGGCAAACTGTATCAAGGCCAGCGATCAAGTCCGCCTGACGTGATCAACTCAATGACGTCATTAAGAGGCGGTGCCGTGCCCTCCTACGCAATGCACAGCGAGCTTCCTCAGCCCAAGAGCCCGATGAAGCAATCGGCGCCTTCCAGTGTGACGAGTTTTACGCAATGCGTTGCTACATCACTCGTTCTTGGGTACAGCCCACCCAGCGCAGCGGCTCCGGATTTGATGATCATGACACAGCCCAGTGGTGGGTCCCCATTGGAGGATTCTGACATGACGGCCAGCGGCGTGTCTGGTTGAACGTTGGTGACGCGAAGGTCCACCCGGTGCCTATAAAAAAAGCCAAGCAGCGCGTCGCCAGCAGTTGACCTATGCGTCAGAGAGAAGCCGACGTATGCGTGCGAGCGAAATCTCGTTGCTTTGAGCCCTTTCGCTACCGGCGTGGCCGGTGTCCTTGTAAGCGGCAAGTTTCTTGGCACCCTTCGTAACCTAGTCGGCGGCGCGCTTCGTAACAGTGGATGGCAGCTGTGGGATCGGCCGGCGTCAGTGACATCAATGCGGTGAGGGCGTGATGTTTTCCTTTCAGTTCACCAGATTACTCTAGCACAGGTTATAGTAGTTTAGAGAAGGGCTGCGTGAAACATTAGAGCGAGCTTTGATCGTTTTAAGCCAAGTCGGAGTGCTTTGAAACCAAAGTTAATGCGGAGGGTGTAAACACGGCAGTGTTCAAATTACTTGCGCGTCTTGCTTGTAGACTTATAGCGATTACGGCAAGTAGATTCTTAACAGCGGCAAAGAGCAAGAGGCTAGTGTGAACGATGGAGAACCTTAAAGTGAAGAAACCCACCAAAACTTGTGAGAAACTTGGTCTTACTTTGAGCCGTGCGAAACGGAAGCAAGCGATCCTTGAGATTATGAAATATGAATGAGTGTCGGCTGAGGAAGTCGATGAGGCCTGGGCAGATATCAAATCATGCCGCGAGGAGGCAGAAAGGCGCGAACGTCGTGAGCGTGAGGAGGCCGAGAGAGAGGAGCACCTCAAGTTGAGAAGAATTGGCAATCAGTGTTCGCAGGCACCTAGCACAGCATCCACGACAGTTCAGGTCAGCGGTTATAAAATTCGGGACCAACTGCCACCGTTCGTACTAGGCGAGGACATGGCGAAGTGTCTCGTCAAGTTTGAACACGTCTGTGAGCGAAATACTTTGGAGTGGTTTCTTTGGACGTGGAACCCGTTAGCTCTTCTTCCCGGCAAAGTGTCGGACATGATGACGTGCTTGTCGAGAGAAGCGTCGGAGAGTTATGACGAGGTTAAGGAAGTGCTCTAGAGACGTTATAAGTTGTCACCCGAGGCTTTCCAGCAAAGGTTCCGGTACGCAAAAAAAGAGGACGAGTCACGAGTTGACTTCGCGTTTCGTCTTAAAGCCTATTTAATTAAATGGCTCAAGGGCGAAGGTGTTGATGACAATCGCGGTAAAGTGGTAGAATGCATTGCATTGCAGCAATTCTACCGCTGCATCGACGATGATGTCAAGCTTTGGCTTCAGGACAAACTTGGTAAAGTATCGCTAAACAAGGCAGCAGAGTTAGCTGAGGAGTATTATACTCGCCGAAAGTTGCACAGCTGGGCAGTGCGCGTTGAAAAGAATGAAAGGGAAGAGGGCTTTTCAAATAAACCAGAT